TGCCAGGAGCCTCCGGAGAAGCCGCTTACAGCAGCTGCGCCCTGTCGGCGGTGCAGGTTGGGTCCCTGGGGGCCAGGCAGCGCAGAAGGCTATTGTCCGCATGTGTCCAGGCCAGCCCTAGCCCTGCCTCCACCTGCGGCCTCCGGGCTCCCCGGGCACACACAGACCCTAGGAAGCCCTTCCCTTCCTGCTTCCCAACCTCCTGCCTCGGGTGCCAGGCATCTGTTCCCTCAAAGCACAGGCGCTGGGGCCTGGCCAAGCTTTGGTCTGCCTTGGAGGAACTGGCACAGATGCACTGTAGATGCCCACCGGGATGCCCACGTGGGTTATTGGGGGGCTGCTCTGGAAGAGAATTCCCTGAGGGAACTGGTACCCGATTCCAGGCTGCCTGCTGGACAGCGTGCGACCCGATGCTGGGCCCATGTGCTCTTTCAGGACCTCAGTCTGTCTCTCTCTCCCCTCCCCCCTCCTCTCTCTCTCTCTCTCTCTCTCTCTCTCTCTCTCTCTCACACACACACACACACACACACACACACACACATTGGGGGTAACCCTTAGCCCATGGTTCTCAAAGTGTGGTTCCAGGGCCAGCAGCATCACTTGAGAACTTGTTGCAAACCCAAATCCTCAGGCCCCATCCAGACCAACCAGATTTAAAACCCTCTGACAGGAGGGGCCAAGCAATTTGTCTTAACAAGTGATTGTGATGCCCGCTCAAGTTTGAGAGCCTCTGGTTTCAAGTCCACCTGGCACAGGGTTCTTGAGGGGGGGCGGGGATGGAGAGTGAGAGACCTGGCTTTAGATCTCTCCTTTCCGAGCTTGTTTTCTCATCTGTAAAATGGGTCCATTTGACAAATTGCACCTTCTTTAAAGTCTCCCTGGCAATTCTAATCTTTTGTAATTTTAAACTTCACCTTGCAGGACCTCACCTCCGTTTCCCCAGCTGGGGAATCAGTCATGATCAGGGTCAAGGAATGGTCCTCCCACCATGTTTCTTATCTGAAATACGGGACGATGGGGAGGGAGTCACATTTCTAAGTCCTAAGGCAGAGGTCCTCCAGCTTGACTGCACTTGGGGTGAGGAGGGTGGGCTCATTTACAGCACAGACTCAGCCCCCACTTCTATTCACTAGTTCACTGGTCTGAGATGTCGTTCCCTACTGACCCTGATGCAGGAGGGGTCTGTGGGCCAGAGTTGGCCAAGTCCCGATTTTCAAATCCCTTCCATGGCTGGACCGAAATGTCCCCTTCTAGGAAGTGAGGGGGAAATGCAGAGTCCCACCAAGACTCTGTAGAGTCCCACCCACCTTTTTAGCCCCAATAGCGCCACCTCTAGGCCAGACAGCATCCTGTAGAAATTAGAAGAAAGGCTCCCGTTCCTCTGGGTGGATGCAGCCCCCTGCCGGGGTCTGACAAGTGGACTTCCGGGCTGGGTTTCCGCCCCGGCTCAACCCCTCAACCGCACACTCTGAATGCAGCAGCCCTGGTAGCCTCACTGACACCGAGCAGGCTTTGGAGTTGGCTGCACCCAGGTTCAAGTCCCACAGATCAGAGAGGTTGAGTGTCCAGCCCAGCGCACACAGCAGCGAGGAGGCCAGGCTCTCCAAAGCCCAGAACTTACTGGCTTTTTTTTTCTGGGTGCTTCTTGGGACTGTGGGTATGTGTTAGGAAGGAGGGTGTCAAACACCATGGGACCCCGGGAGCAATTTCAGAACTAACCCATCCTTCTCCATAGGCAGGCTGTTAACGCCACCGGCCACCTTTCGGACACTCTGTGGCTGATCCCCATCACATTCCTGACCATCGGCTATGGGGACGTGGTGCCCGGCACCATGTGGGGCAAGATTGTTTGCCTCTGCACTGGAGTCATGGTGAGTACAGCCACCTCAGGGACCCTCTCCTATTCCGCACCGGTCATCCCCTGGCTCCAGGAAGCCATGGAGCCAACGCAGGCAGTCAGGGCCACCCTCAAGAAACTGGGCGTCTGGGCCCCCACAGCCCCATTTCCTTTTAAAACACAGGAATCCATCCCCAAAACCAGTGGTTCTCAACCTTCTGGCCCTTTAAATACAGTTCCTCATGTTGTGAGCCAACCATAGAATTATTTTCGTTGCTACTTCATAACTGTAATGTTGCTACTGTTATGAATCGTCATGTAAATATCTGATATGCAGGATGGTCTTAGGCGACCCCTGTGAAAGGGTCGTTCGACCGCCAAAGGGGTCTCGACCCACAGGTTGAGAACCGCTGCCCCAAACCCTTGCTCTCTCAGAAACCTAAGATCCCAGCCCTCATCCTCCTCAGGAACACAAGGCCCCTAACTTCCCAGCCCCATTTCCTCCCAGAATCCAGGAATCCAGCCCTGAGCCCCGTCAAGGCTCCGCATCCTGCCCCACCACCTGGCCCCCTGGCCCCCTAGTCATCTAGGACTCAGGCTCTGGGAGAGGAATCCAAGCTCCCAGCCTCCATCGAGGCCACAGAGTCTAATCATGGAGAGTATGCCTGGGGGGCCGGGCTGCCTGGGGCCAAATCCTGCTCCTGCCACTTCCTAGCTGGAAGCAAGCCATATAGGAGTACCTCCCAGGCCTCAGTTTCCTCGTCTATAAAATAGGATACTTGCCGAAACCGGTTTGGCTCAGTGGATAGAGCGTCGGCCTGCGGACTGAAAGGTCCCAGGTTCGATTCCGGTCAAGGGCATGTACTTGGGTTGCGGGCACATCCCCAGTAGGAGATGTGCAGGAGGCAGCTGACCGATGTTTCTCTCTCATCGATGTTTCTAACTCTCTATCTCTCTCCCTTCCTCTCTGTAAAAAATCAATAAAATATATTTAAAAAAAAAATAAAATAGGATACTTATACCAGTGAACTCCTCGGGTTCTTGAGGAGATTAAATGAATTGAAACATGTAAAGGATCCCAAACGGTGCCCAGCACATAGGAAATGCTCAGGAAAGGGGGGGGGGGCTGTTATAATGGCCCCGGGCATCTGCCACCCCCACCCCAGCGCCAGTCCCTCAAGGATGAGGCAGAGGCTCTCCAGCCCCATGATGCCTCCTCCCAGAGTCAGCCTCTGCCCGAATCCAGACATTTCACCCTTCCCCTTCACAGACCCAGGCATCCAGTCTCCCCCACGCAACCCTTATCCCCCCACTCCACCCCCCGAGACCCAGCACCCAATGCCTTGGGCTTCACCTTCCCAAGAAGACCGGGCTCCTCTTACCTCAAGGACGCAAGCCACCAGTCCCCAGCCCTGATGTTGTCCCAGGAAGGACATGTTGAATCCCCAGGGAGGAGGGTGAGGGACACCCCAGTGACCTGATGGCCAACTGGGTGTGAGCAGCAGGGAGGAATGGTTCCCGCAGGAGCCTGAGGTCTGCCCCTTGCCCAGCCCAGCCCTCCTCTCCTCCTCCATTCATACCCTTAACCAAAGAGAATATTTTGATGGTGTAAATACACACAGGAGTTCATCTCAGACCCGTGACTTCTAATCCTCGCTCCCCGCTTGGAGCTGTTTGCTTGTCTGTCAACAAACAGACAAGGGGTGGTCGGGCCTGCTTTCTGTGGCTGTTGGGGGGCAGGGGGGGGGCAAGGAGAGCTGGTGGAACAGGGCTGGCCCACAGAGCTCCACAGCCCTGTGTCACACACAGTGCCTGCTGTGCCCACAGGGAGTCTGCTGCACAGCCCTGCTGGTGGCGGTGGTGGCTCGGAAGCTGGAGTTCAATAAGGCAGAGAAGCATGTGCACAACTTCATGATGGACATCCAGTATGCCAAAGAGGTGAGGGCGGGCTATACAGGAGTCCCAACCCCAGCTCCTCCTCCCTCAGACTCAGGACTCCAGCCCCCAGCCCCCAGCCCCCAGCCCCACCTCCCTCAAACCCAGGAGTCCAGGCCCCCAGCCCCTCCTCCCTCAGACCCAGCGGTCCAAGCCCCCAGCCCCTCCTCCCTCAGACCCAGGGGTCCAGGCCCCCAGCCCCTCCTCCCTCAGACCCAGGGGTCCAGGCCCCCAGCCCCTCCTCCCTCAGACCCAGGGGTCCAGGCCCCCAGACCCTCCTCCCTCAGACCCAGGGGTCCAGGCCCCCAGCTCCTCCTCCCTCAGACCCAGGGGTCCAGGCCCCCAGCCCCTCCTCCCTCAGACCCAGGAGTCCAGGCCCCCAGCCCCTCCTCCCTCAGACCCCTGGGACCAGGCCCCCAGCCCCTCCTCCCTCAGATACCAGGGGTCCAGGCCCCCAGCCCCTCCTCCCTCAGACCCAGGAGTCCAGGCCCCTGGCCCCTCCTCCCTCAGACCCAGGCTCCCAGCCCCTCTTCCCAGAGCCAGGGGGGTCTGTCTGCACCGACACTGTGCCACCCTCCCCCAGATGAAGGAGTCAGCTGCCCGAGTGCTACAAGAGGCCTGGATGTTCTACAAACATACACGCAGGAAGGACTCTGGAGCTGCCCGCAGGCACCAGCGCAAGCTGCTGGCTGCTATCAACACGTGAGGGCTGGTGTGTGTGTGTGTGTGTGTGTGTGCGCGCCCACACCCTAGTGGCACCCACATGGGGGGGAGGGGGATTGGTGTGTGTGTGTGTGTGTGTGTGTGTGTGTGTGTGAGTGTGTGTGTGTACAACCCACATGCACCCATGTGTGACTGAACAGATATCAGCCTGGACCTCATAGTGACTCTGAGAGTCTGTGGTGGCTGATTTTGCATATCTCGGGGTGTCTGTGGATCTGCATACCTGGGTCTCTCCCAGGGAGGTGGACTCATGGGTGCAGCCCCCCACTTCAGCTCTCTAGCAACTTTTCCTCTTTGTACTGTATATGCGTGGGTCTCTCCTCCCCTCACCCCTCCCCTGCGCTGGGGCCACATCTGGGGACCAGGCTGATGGGAAAACTGACGCCCTACTTCTCCCCACAGGTTCCGCCAGGTGCGACTGAAACACCGAAAGCTCCGGGAACAAGTGAACTCCATGGTGGACATCTCCAAGGTACCGGGATCCCGTGGGAGCGGAGAGGGAGGCTGGGGCCACGGGCAGGGAACTCTGGCCCCGGAATAGGGAAGGAACCCTGGCCAGGGCCTGGCACACAGGCACTCAATAAAGGTTTGTGGTTGGATGAATGAATGATGCAATACCGAGTTTCTAAAAGTCATGCATTATACAGAGAGATCCCTTTTAAACTTAAAAAAAAAAAGGCACAAAGGACTCCAGTGTTTGGTTTTAAATTATTTTTATTGTCAACTTACTTACATGTGAACGGATATAAAATTCCTTCAACTTCTGACTCTTACACAATAATAAAACCAAAGCAAATTTACAAACCAAGCCCAAATACACATGGCAAAACCAATAAAATGGAAACGCACAACACGGGCATGGGGAAGGGCGACTGTCTCGGTGAAACTCAATCTCTGCTGCTGCTGTGAAGAGGGGGCCAGGACCCGGGGTGCCTCCCCTGCCTGGCCAAGCCGCTCAGCTCGCCCCCTCAGGGCGGGGACGTCACACCCCTTGGCTGGACTCACAGCGTCTTTTGCTTATCTGGTGGCCTTTGCTTTTCCTCATTAGTCCGTGACAGTTCAAACAGTGGTCCTCGGCACCCCTGCCATGGTAAACACAGCCACAGGTACCGGCCTCTACGCTGCATGGCTCAGGGAGGGGGTGGTGGCCTAGATCTGCCAGAACTGACAGGCGCTAATTTCCTAAGATTATCGAGCCATAAAACACAGAGTTAAAGAATTCTCATAGAAAGCTCACATGCCCTCAAGGATGAAGCTGTGAATCCTGGTTTGAGAAGGCAGGGAAAGGGCTAGGTGGATTTTGAAGGCAGGTGTTCATCAGTATTAGTGAGTACCTCCAACATCCCAGGCCCTATTGTAGGGGCTGCTTTGGGCCTGTCAATTAACTGCTCCAGGCCTGTTTCCTCAGCTGTAAATATGGGGACAGGATTTTCACTCCCATGACTAGTAGGATTTTGCCAAGTAGCGGGGTGTGGTAGAGGTCAATACTTTGTACCTGTTACAACTGAGGATAAACCTTGAGGGCCCGTAACTAAATGTTGGTTCCACTGCCTTCCCCACCGGACAGGGAGGCTGTACCTCAGCCCTCTGATACCTCCGACCCTCTCTCTGCCCAGATGCACATGATCCTGTGTGACCTGCAGCTGGGTCTGAGCAGCTCACATCAGGCCCTGGAAAAGCGCATTGACACCCTGGCAGGGAAGCTGGACACCCTGACGGAGCTGCTTAGCACTGCCCTGAAGCAGCTCCCGGAACCCAGCCAGGAGGCCACATAGCTGGTAAGGAGGCTGGGGCGTGGGCAGGAAAGCATTCTGGAGGAAAGGTGTCTGTGGTCTGCACCCCATATGGTGAAGGGGGCAGGGGATGGCCTGAGACAACACTGGCTGTGCTGGGAAGAAAGGACTCCAAGATTGGGACTGGATGGCAGTGGAGGAAGGAGACATTTCTCCCTTGTGCTGACCCTCAATACCCTCCCCTTTATTGCTTGGAATCTGTCTGTCTGTCTCTTCGCCTGTCTCTGGGCACGTTCTCTGGCTCCGTCCAAATGCCAGCTGCTCCTAATCTCGTGGTGCCGGGTACACCCACCCTCTTATTTCCTCCTTTGCCCACTGGTGTCTGTCCGTCTCCACTTCCGTGTCCCCGCTCTTGCTCCTCCTCTGGTGGCTGGTCTGCCTGTCCATCCATCTCCCTTTGTCTCCCCAGGACCCATGGAGGAAGAACCAGGCTACTTTCCCCAGGATTGAGGTCAAGGACATGCTCTCTTCCACTCCTGACCCAGCCCTATGACTAAAACACCTCAAATGCAAGGACTCAAGGGGCCCCACCTTGGGGTGGGTTGACTCACTGAAGCTGCTGGAGGCGACACTGGCTGTAGGAGGGAGGCCGTGGCCCATCCCTGAGGCCCCAGATGGGAAAATGGTCACCACTACCCCACATGCCCTCCACAAAAACATCCTCACTGTGCTGCTACAGCTGACCCCCAGCTTCTGTGGAAGTGGAGGTGCCTGGGGGCTGAGACGGCTGCGGCCCAGAGTCCAGGATCCTGGGGAGCCTCAGTTACCGCTGGTCGGCAGAGCTGAAGGAGCCAGGCCTGAAGCTGGGACAAGGCAGGAGGTGGCGCCCCCTGGTGGGAGAGCAGGAGGACACTATTTTTCTAGAGTTGCAGAGAATATGGTGGGAGAGGAGGCGGAGGGGGTGAAGGGGCTCACCAGTCTCTGTTCTTATACTTTGTAATAAATTTTAAACAAAGACGGAAGTGGCTGTTTCTTTCTAAACATATCCACACTTCACACAGGCAGCTCGTCCAATGGAAGGCCCTTACCTGCCCTGTCTGAACCTCAGTTTCCCCATCTATAAAACAGGCCTTTCCTAAGTGCCCTCCCAGGTCTGTAGGCTGCAGAGTCCTCAACAACCTCCCCACCCAGATCTGCGACTAAGAACAAGGGCTTTGGATTCAGGCAGATCCGGGCGCCACCACCCACTGGCTGTGTGTCTGGGGGCAAATGGTTCCACCTCTCTGAACATTTTACCTCACGTGTAAAATGGGGCCACCCCCCAATGGAGCTGCGGTTAAAACAGAATGGCACAGAGGGTCAGGAATTCAGTGAGAACCAAATACAGGAGCTATTCAATCCTTTTATTACTGCTATTGGTTTTCAGACACAATGCTTGGCTGCCCCTTTTCTCTCTTCTGCCCTTATCCCCTCACTAGAACCTAGATGACAACTCACCCATCAGGAGACTAGCAGGACCCTAAACCACCCCCCTACACTCATTTCACATCTGCTAGGACTCAGACCGGAAAAGGGAGGGGGCTGGCACTTCCGGAGATCCCACTGTACGCTCAGCTCTGTGCTCCCCTTTTATAAATCACCAAGACCACTGCCCCATCCCACCCCACCCCACTGTAGAGACACAGAAACTGAGGTTTCAGTGGAGCCAGTCCTGAAGCTGAGAACCAGGGCTGCAGGGTCCAGATTCACACGCAGCCTGTCCCCCTGTGCCCTGCGGAGATGAGTCAGAGGCAGAGTGGCCTTGGGGCTCGAACCCAGGTCTCACTTCCTACAGTGGCTGCATTCCCCTTTGGGAGGCTGATTCATCCTCACTTCCCTGGAGTTGCGGGGAAGCGGGGGCTGCGAGTCATCCTCCTCTGCTGAGCTATCTTTGGATTTCCCTCCAAGTCCGAAGCCAGCCTCACCCCTCAGCCCTGCTAAACTGGGGCCTGCACCACCCACTGCCCGACTGCCTGCCCTTCCTCGTCACCAACCCGCCTGGGGAGCAAAGGAGACAGGAACTAGATGGAACCTCTGAAGACACTTCCAACAGCCTCCCCTCAGGAAGCCCTACTTACAGTGTCGCCTGGTAACCGGCCAAACTTATTAGTCTGGGACCACTCTTTCTTCGTCCCCCTCTGCGCCCCTTCAGCTGGCAAACTCCTTCCTACTCCTCCTATAGGCCTTGGCTTAGGTGTCCCCGCCTCCAGGAAGCCCTCTGAAGCTCCCATAGCCCCATGAACCTGTTCACAGTATTTATTGGACCAAGCACCACGTTAAGCCCTTTGTATAACCCATCTTACAAATCTCTACAAAAGGAGGCAAAGTGGGTACTGCTGGTCCCGTTTTACAGATGAGAAAACGGAGATGAAGGAACCTGCTCAAAACCACAGCAAAGAGGTGGGTGAGCTGGGATTTGACCCAGGCAGCCTGGCTCCAGAGCCCCAGTGCTTAGCCAACTGGTCTATTCAGATCATCACACCATGTTTCCATTTTTGTTCACTATTGTGCCTTCAAGGCCACGTGCAGGGCCTCATATGCACAGTCAATCTCTAATGTGGCCCAAAGCCCCTCGCCTTCTACCACATGTTGGCTTCCACTGAGACGAGGGAGGGACTGGTTTAGAAGGGGCTTTATGACTAAGAAACTTAAGAACATGTGAGAGATCCCAGTTCTGCATTATCTGGGATCTGCCCCCACCTACCTGCTCCCATTCTCCTCTGTGGGTACAGGTCCTGACCGCCCCCCCCCCCCTTCTGGCAGACCTTGCCCTCCTCTCACAGAACTGGCACTTCCTGAAGGCCCTGGCCGGCTGGGGCTGCAGGCATGAGTCAGAGGGCTCTGTCCTTGAGGGGCTCAGTCTCAAGGTAATTTCTGGCTACCTCCCTCTCCTACTTCTGTTCTGCCATGTACGCCCACGAGAGGACTGGGTGGAAAAAGAGGGTCCAGAGAGGAGTGGACGCTTACCAGGATCAGAGAACCAGTCAGGTGCTGAGGTGGGCGCCACGCTCTGGCCTCTCTCCTTCCATGGACCCACCCTCACCCCTGAAGACCTTCCTAATAATACCCAGACCTGACTGGGCCCTGCCCTTGCTCAAAAACCTTCCATGGCTCCCTCCTGCCCTCTCTTGGTCAAGCTCCTAAGCCTAGCTCATTTTTCCTTTTATTAAGATCCATTTTACATAAACTACACACGTTTTAAGTGCAGTCTCAATGAATTTTTACAAATGCATTCACCAGAGTAGCTATTACTCAGATTAAGCTAGGAGTTTCCAGCCCCTTAAAAGCTCTCCTGTCCCAGCCAACACCTTCCTCCACCCTCGGTATTTACTTCTTGGGTTCTCCAGTGGCTGTGAGATGCACCCAGTACACTCATTCTTTTTCACTGCAGAATAGTGTTCCATTGTGTTAACACATCCACAGGCCTCGCCTGGGGGGTTCTTTAGATGCTGCCCCCCACTTCAGATCCCCCCTTCCTGGCTGCTAACTATCATGCAACCAGTTCCCACTTACGGTGTTTCCTCACATCAAGCAATTCTCAGACACCAGCTGGGAGTCTTACAAGAATAAATAACATAGTGAGATTTTGTTGAATAGTGTGGATGAAAGGGGGTCATATACTAAACCAGACAAGCTCTGAGGCCTGCATGGCATCCAAAAATAGCCACATAGGATGGTTGAAATAAGAACTTCCTAACTAAAAGTGAGTCATGGAGGGCAGTCATATCCCAAGCCAGTATTTTCCTTGACAAAGGTCAAGTTTTACCTTAACTGAGCCTGTCTATTGTCTTTTTGCATCTACAACAACATCCCTTTGGGATGTCAAAATCATCCTTCTTTTTCTAGACCCCTCAGGCACCAAACACCCACTAGAGCCAGAAACCCTTCATGCAATCGTGTTCCCTGAATACCATCTCTATGTGCTGTAAATGTTAATTGTTAACTATCTTGTACCCACCAATGTAAAAGAAGTGTTTGTCTCTCCAGTTTACTCTTTATGCAATCTCAGAAATTTCCCCTTGCTTTGCTTTCTTTTTCCCACCTCCCTAATCTACCACCAATGAATTTCATGTAACCCTTCTTTCATCTCCTCCTTTGATTATAATGTATAAAATATATTGCAAAACTGCCATTCTCAGGAGCATTTCCTCAACCAATTGAGATTTTGTTTCCCAGCAATTATGGTCAGTTTGGCTCAAATAAACTCACACCCATTCTCCACAGATCTGGACATTTCTTACATTGACAATATGATACTACTAGAGGCCCAGTGCATGAAATTCATGCACGGGGGAGAGGGGTCCCTCAGCCCGGCCTGCACTCTCTCCAATCCGGGACCCCTCGGGGGATGTCCGACCACTGACTCCTAACCACTCGCCTGCCTGCCTGCCTGATTGCCCCTAACCCCTCTGCCTGCCTGTCTGATCACCCCTAACCACCTCTGCCTCGCCCTGCACCCGGGACCTGGGCTTCCCTCCCTCTGGCAGGCCGCAAGCACCCAGGACCTGGGCTGGCTTTGTCCGGGCTGGCTGCAGCCACAGGGCCCAGGACTGTGGGCCGGGCGGCTTGTCCCTCTCCCAGGCTGCAGCCTGGCTGGTCCCCATTCCTCTCTCATGAGCTCATTTGTGCCTGGCTGGTCCCCATTCCTCTCTCCCCAGTGTTGAGTGTCTGAGCCTTTACAGCGTGACTGCGTGAGGGTGCGATGACCATTTGCATATTAGCTCTTTATTATATAGGATTCTGATACTATCTACTTGGAGATAGAGTCAGATTCCACAGGATAAGAGCTCAGTCCCACAAGACTGTCCCCCCCACTTCAGCCACCAATTTCAAGTCCAGGTTGTCACCTGTGCTTCTGACTGGCTATAGATCAGAGGTTCCAACAACCTGCTCCCTTGGATTCCATTAATTTGCTAGAGTGGCTTACAGGAACATTTTACTTCCTAGAACATCAGCTTATTATAAAAGGATGTAAACTAGGAACAGCCGGATGGAAGAGAGGCAAAGGGCAGGGTAAGGGGAGAGGGCCTGGAGCTTCCATACTCTGAGCATGCCCCTATCCTGGCCTCTCCACGTAGTAACCTACCGGAAGCTCTCTTAACCCAGCCTTTTGATTTTTTATGCAGGCTTCATTACTTAGTTGATTAAGTCATTGGCCATTTAGCAATTGATTTGACCTCTAGCCCCTCTTCCCTCCCAGGAGATGGGGTGGAGGGAGTGTGGAACTAAAAATCCCAAGACTGTAATCATATGGTTGGGTCTCCTGGCAACCAGCCCCCGTCCTTAGGTTACATAGGGGCTTTCCAAAAGTCACCTTATTAACATAACAAGGCACCTTTATCACTCTCATCTCGGAAAATGCCAAGGGTCTGAAGGGTTCTGTGCGGGGGAAACAGGAGGAAGACCAAATACGTATTTATTGTAAATCACAGTATCACACCTGCTTCTGCCATGCGGCTCCTCTTGCTTCCCAAACATTCTCTGCCTGAACTGCCCACCAGTTAAAGCAAAGAATGTTCTCCTCTCCCCCTTGCCCCACCCACTTGGAACAGCCATCACCAGTATTTGTCCAGTTCTTTATTCAGATCCATAAACATTCAGATACATCAACATCAGATTAAAAGTCCAAAGACCTGTTTTGAGCTTTTATGCTGTGTGGAATAACTGCCAATATATAAAAACCACAGGAGTGGTTTTTACAATTTGGAGGGGATGTCAAAGAGTAAGACTTTCCTTTCTTTTACCAGGATGAACTGGCCCTACTTCAATTCCAGCCCCTCTCTCCACCCTGTCGCACCCCGTCACCTTTTTGAGGAGCCGGTTCCTAAGTCTCTTCCTCTATCACTCCCATCAGCATACGAACAAGCCATGATTTCTTCCATCTTAAAAACATCCCACTATAGCTGTAAGCACTTTAGAGCCTCCATGATCCTTAAAGTTCACTATGTATTCACCAAACTGCAAAACATCTGGACTTG